GCGGCATAATGGATGGATGCAACAGATTATTCATTAGCTGAATCCACCAGGCTTGGTGGCTGATTGGATGTGGGGGAAGGAGGGAACAAGGTTCCTTGCTTAGGCAGTGGTGAGGCTCCTGGAGTAGGAAGCTGAGAGGGGCAGGGCAGGAGGAGGGGCAGGTGGGTGGAAAGGGAGTTTTGGACCTGCTTAGTGAGAAGAACCTGTGAAGATTCAGAAAGCTTTAGGCTCCACAAGCAGAAAGGCCTGTGTGGGAGGAATATGGCCCAGAATCAAAGCCGGGGGCTGAAAAGCCCCCCTTACCCATTCACTCTCCTCAACTATTACGTGGGAGCCTCTGCGGTCCCCTGCCACCTGCCTGAAGAGAATGGGGCAAAAGGTTTGCTGTATGGATAGACTGAGTCAAGGGGCCCTGCCCTCTAGCCTCCTACATCTGCCTGTTCCTCCGCCACCTCTGCAGCCTGTGTGCACCCAGGCCTGGGGGCAGTGACTCTGGATGTGGGCGTTGCCCCTTGGTGGAACCATCACGCTGAGGCAGGACTTCGAGTGGTCATGCACCCGGGCTCTGACTGCTTCGGTAGAATCCCTCACCGCTCCACCTCTTCCTAGTCATGGCCCCTCGAGCATGGCATTTGACCTTCTGGTGTCTCAGCTTCCTCATCTGTAAAGTGAGGTAATAATAATACCTATCTCAGGATTGTTGTGATGATTAAATCAGCGAATGTATATAAAGTATCAAGTACAGGGCCTGTGCATGTTAATTATTATTATTATTATTATTATTATTATTATTATGTATCTGTCCAGTCTGGGCAGGGCCTGGCATGTGTCCCTAAGATGACTCACCATCTGGCTTGGGGTGTCTTCCTCAGGCACACTGCCCTAGTTCCCTGCCCCTCCAGGCCTCAGCCTCAGTTGGATCTCTACTGAGCTGTCATTCTATTGGCCAGCCCCCACCCAGGAATCCTGAGCCCTAGAAACCTACCCATCATGGCCTCGGTGGGAGCCAGGGGCTTTGGCTGCCAGTTACAACACTGAGATAAGCCGAAGGGCCAACCTTGATGGTCTCCCTTGGCTACCAGTGAACAGGTAATCACCAGGCCATCTTCTCAGGGAGGCGGAATGAGAAAGAGATGTGAAAACAGAAAGGCAAGGCAAGGATACGTTGAGGGAGAACACAGGTGGGGGAAAGTGGGTTTGGGACACTTTCATTTTCACCGGTTTGAATGACTTTCATTTGCACCCCACTCCTCAGTTTGTACCCTTTAGCTTCCTCCCTTAGACATACAGTCCAGATTAGAATGGATATAACATGTACACAACACAGTATAGCATGTGGTTTCAGTGAAGTTGGGCAGCCTGATGTCAAGCCCCAGTTCCATTATTTACATGGAATTTACTAGTTCCATTATTAGTTACTTAATACCTTTGAGCCTCAGTTTCCCCATCTGCAAAGTGGTAATTCAAAGGGTAATGGCAGAGATTACATACTGTACATGTGAAGCACTTGGACCCGTGCCAGGCACTGACCGGCTATTGTGGCCCGCAGAGAGGTCTATAGAAGCAGACGTCCTGCCTCATTCCCCAGCTGCTTTTCCACCTGCCCAAGGTGGGGGCAGTCGGAATAGTGTTCTGACCCCACTGACCGTCTGTGGAAACGCCCCTGCAAGTGCTTCTAGACCAGGTCACTGGCCACAGCAACCTGAAACTTCAACACTCCCCACACCTAACTCCCCCTGAACACTCTTCCCCAGGCGCTTCTGCGACCCCAGCCTCTATCCCTTCCTGCCAATAGCCAAGCTGTTCTTCCTTCTGCCAGCGTCCCAGGGCTTGGGTGGGTGGATTGGGGCCCGGGTCCAGATCGTCCTCAGGTCCCCCTCCTACCCTGGAGGGGCATGGCAAACTCCACCATGGTTTCTCACAGTGTGGACAAAGCAGGGAACCTGAGGGTGCTAATTCCAAACACCAACCTCCCATTTCACACCAACAGGACTGAACCTGAACTGGGGGTGTAGGTCGAACTTGCGTTCTGATGAGCTCCTGGGGAGATTTTCCAATGCACAATCATCACAGCGCAAACTGGCAGCCCCACGCCAGCTCCAAGAACACAGTCAGCGGTGCCAGATGGGGACTCGGTGTCCCAGAGCAAGGGGACGGACTGTTAGAGAAGCGCTTCCCCCAGTCCAGGCAGGCTCCGCAGCAGCGGGAAAGGGACAGCTGTGATGGGGCCCGAAAGGGAGCGAGTCCTAGAAAGTCGGGGGCGGGGCGCGCGCCTCTTTCTAAAACCCTCATTAACTCGCTGAGCAATTACCGGGGCGCCGCAGGAGTCGTTGCATCTCTGCCGCGTCAGAAGCTGGAGTGGGGCGGAGAGGGCGGCGCTGGGCCACCTGTGCGGTGGTGGGAACTGAGGCCCAAGGAGGGGGCCAGCCTGCACGGGACTCTGCAGTCCCGGAGCTGGGCTGCCACCGCCCGCCGCCTGGGAGCGGGAGTGGAGGACGTGTTCCTCCCAAACGCCCTCTTTTCTTGACGCTCAGCCACAGCTTCATAGCTTCATCCATCTCGAAGCACAGTCCTTCCTCTCCAGCCTCAGCTTCCCCAACCGCGCCCGCGTGTGCACGGAGGGCGGAGAGGGGGCGTGGGGTGGGCAGCTGGGCGCGCAGCGGTGGGCGGCCAGGCAGTGGGATTCCCCACCGGAAAGCAGCCCCATCCCTCCCCCCGGCTCTCTGAGACCCTGAACCGAAACAGGAGGCAGAACGCCCCAGCCGGGAAGCGGCCTCGGCCCGGATTTCCCTCCCGGGTGGGGCCGCAATGACTCACCTCCTCCCGCCCCCTCTCCCCCTTCCCCGGTTTCCTTGTTTGCATTTGTCCTCCGGGCCACGTGGCGACCGGTGCAGCCACTCACCGCCCCTGCCCGGTCACCTGGGCCTAGTGGCCCCGGCACACCCCACACACACCCCGGGGCGCTCCTGCCCCCTGGGGTTTCTCGGAGCTCGGGCTCTTGCCCGCTCTGCAGACCCCAGAGTCGGGGTTCCACCCCTGCCCGTGTCCGCCCCCTGTCCTACGCCCTCCCTCCCTCCCGTGAGGCTGGAGCCTCCTCCCTGCCCCCTCAGCTTGTCCGGGAGGGGAAGGGGGCGGGCAGCACAGGGGGTGTGACAGCTCCCGCCCGGACGAGTGCCAGCTGCAGCCTCGCTTCAGTGCCCCGTGCCAGCTGGCTCTTTCGTCTGGGACGGAGGTGGAGGCTCGGGCTCCTTGTGAGGGGGGAGGCCCCCCGCGGGCCCCCAGCCCTCCACCCACCCAAGAGGAGCCTCTGCTCCCAGCCGGCCTCTGGCTGCTCTGGCGGTGGGTCCAGCTAGGAACTGGCCCTGGTCACTGCGCCCGGGACTCAGAGCTCGCAGCCCTCCAGGATCCCCCTATCGGAGCTGACGGGGCTCGCTGGGGAGCCTCCCAGCCTTTTGCTAGAGCCTGCAGGGCTGGACGAGCTTGAGAAGGATCATGAAGGTGGGTAAGGTGGGGCCGGGGGCGAAGAGCAGCAGAAGAGGAAGCCGACAGATGGGGAGTTTGGGTGGGAGAGAAAGGGTTGGTCTGGGGAGGGAGAAGGGGAGAAGAAGGGTTTGAGCTGAGGCTACATTTCTGGGGGATCCAGTGAGTCCATAGCTTCACTGGGAGGTGGTGGAGGTCCCTGCAGGGACTTGGGTAGTGGGGTGGGGCAGAAGTCCAAAGAAGGCCGGGAAGGAAGGCTCTACCTCCCGCCAGCAGGAGACCCCTAAGTGCGCCAGACCGACAAGACCCAGCGAAGGTCTTCCTGTCCCTCCCCCAGCTCCTGGCAGGGCTGCAGCACCTCCGCCTGTCCAGTCCAGAGGATTCTAAGGAAGCGGTGCTGCCGGGGGAGTTGTGTCCTGGTCCAGCTGCCCCAGCCCCATGGCTGTCCGCCTTCCTCCCCTCCTCACAGGTGGGCTGGCCAGGTGAGAGCCGCTGGCAGGTGGGCCTGATTGTGGAGGACAGCCCAGCTCTGGGAGCACCACAGGTGGGAAGCCTACCAGACGTGGTGCCCGAGGGGACGCTGCTCAACATGGTGCTGAGGAGGATGCACCTGCCCCGAAGCTGCTCCTACCGGCTGCTTCTGGAGCACCAGCGCCCCAGCCGAATCCAGGGGCTTCGCTGGGTGAGTGCTCATCGCCTGCCCAGGCCAGGAACCGGGGCTGCAGCGTCTGGATAGGGAGCACAGGCATGCTGGTGGTGGCCCAGCTTGCTCTGGGAGGGTGGGGGGTACTGCTGGATGGACAGCTGGTCAGGCAGCTTAGCTTTGGTATGGGTATGTGTGGGTGGCTCACACAGCTGCATTGTGTGTGTGTGTGTGTGTGTGTGTGTGTGTGTGTGGTGCCCAAGTGCCCCCATTTAGGCATGGGGAAGAGGCAAGGGATTTGTCATTTATTCATAACCTCTGCGTGCCTTGGGTTAGGTGCCTGTGTGTTCTCCCTGGTGGGGGGGGTGGGGCGCGGGGGAGGCCAGGTCAAGTCAGGGCTGAGGTAAACTTGGTTACTATTCTCCACATATCACCGTGGCAACCTTCCCGGTTAGTGAGCAACTGAACTGCACCAGTTCTGTTTTTTGATTTTGGGGTGAGGTGGTCATGCGAACGTTGCTAGGCATCTGGCATTGGGGAGTTCAGGGAAGGATTCTGAAAAGTTTAGAGAATCTGAGGCGACTGGAGTTCCCCTTGTCATTGGACAACAGCTGTGGAGCTGCAAAAGTGAAGGAGAGAGCAGGAGCGGGTCAGGGCGGGGTGGGGTGCAGGATAATGGTTGCAGGATACAAATTGTCAGAGAGGCTCTCCTCAGTCTCCTAGACTTAATAGAGTGGCTTCACCTGAGATTCAGTGTGTGTCTTGTGTGCCCACCTGTGTGTGTGTGTGGGGGGGGGGCGGTGCCGGGAGGGGACTTGGGTAAAGGTGTGGAGGAAAATAGGAGCAGGTGACAGACTTGGGGGAGCTCATCTCTTATGGGCAAGTCCCGTCGAATAGAAGGACCACCACCTTCTGCCTGCTTCCTCCCGCCTCTCTCAACCGCCATTTATATTTACCAAAACATGAGTCTGAGTTGAGAAAACTGAGTTCCACCAACATGAGGGGGGCATCCTGGCAATCAGAATTGAGAGGAGAATCTAGGTGGCAGTCCCCCAAACCCTGCCTCCCAGGGTTTTCCTCATAAGGGGCCCCCTGGCCGTGGTCCTGCTCAAGATGGGACTCTGGAGGAGGCAAGGGAGCCAGTCACTTCTAGGCTTAGCTCCCCCCCTCCCCCTTCCGGGTCCCTGGCAGTAGCTACTGCTTGGAGCCAGTGGGCTGGAACACTCCCTCCCTCTTTCCCACTCCGGCTATAATTACTTGTGCATTTCCTGTCCTTTTCCCAGTTTGTAGAGGCAAGGTGGAGAGTGGGGGGAAGGTCAGGTGCAAGGACAATGAGGTCACTGGAGTATCCCCTGGGACCCAAAGTCTGGGAGTGGGTAGATGAGGCCGCCAGGCTGTCTCCTGACCCCTCCAACCCCTGGTGTGCTGGGAGGCCAGAAGGGTGGGGGTGAGGGTTGTTGGAGTGTAAATGGGGTCAAAGGCACAGAAGCAAGGCTCCTCCCTGCCAGGTAGGGGGGCAAGTGGGGCTTGTTGATGAAAGGGAACTTAGATTTTTATGGCTGCCACACCCTCTCCTGATGACCTTCTCTGGGGAATGGGGTGGGGTCGTTTCAGCCCATTGTGTCTGTGACTCTGGGTACCTATAAAGCTGCACCTTGAATCTCTGGATGATGCCTGTGGCCCATGAAGAGCTCACGTGAGAGGGACAAGCGCCAGGCAGGGAATATGCACACACAGGGTGAAGGGTGGATGTTGTGAGGGAGCGGAGCCCAGAGTCCCAGAAGGACAGTGCTGGCAGTTGTGCAGCCCCTGCCTACCTCTTAGAAAAGCAAGGGGAAACCTTTGCTTTGGTGGGACAGGGAGAAGTGGCATCCTCTTCACCATGCCTAAATGGGGGCACTTGGGCACCACACACACACACACACACACACACACACAAACACGCCACCTCTCCCTGTCCCATCAGCTTCCTGCAGGCTAAAGAGAGCACTTTCTGTTCCTACTGGACCGGGACAAGAGAAAAATAAAAGCAGGTTACAGCAGGAGGGCCGGAGGTTAGCTATAGAAAGGACTTGCCAACCCTGACAGAGGTGACACTGGAATGGAATGGAAGAGCATCTCCTTGGAGAACATGACAGGGAGAGATCGTTCAGTGTCTGGGAACCAGCAGAGGGCTCAATCTGTCTAGAGGCAGCGACAAGATCTGGATGATCTCTGGTGGGTCCCATGAGCTCCCAGAAGCCTGGCATGCTGCTCTGTGAGTGAGTGTTTTGGGGATGGTGTGTCTATGCTCTAACTCAGAAAACATGCTTTCACCAACCTGCCCAAATAATGGTAGTAGCTAGTAGTTATCTAGGATTTATGTCTCAGGCACTTGTCAAATACTCGCCCAACAGCCTGTGAGATAGGTGCTAATGTCATCATTTCATTTTAGAGATGAGAAAACAGGGGCACAGAGAGGCTAAGTGACAGGTCCAGAGTCACACAGCTGCTAAGGGACAAAGCTGGACTTTGGTCCTGGGTAATGTGGCCTCAGAGTCCAGGTTCATGGTATGTTTTCTCTTGCTGTGGATGGTAACACTGACACTCCAAAACATCACCCAACCCCATGCCACCTCTCCCTGTCCCACCATGACTAGCCCTGGCCTGAGACCCTAGCCATGGGCTAATGGAACTGGTCTGACAACAGGTCCCCATGTGTCTGTCTGCACTGCCAGTCGGGCTCTGACACCAGTGACAGGGAGGGAGGGTGAGGCAGGTCAGGTGCTGGTGCCATGGGATCTAGCTGGCAACTCCTCTTCCACCCTGAGTGGTTCCTGTGAAGGCATGAGAGGAGGTGGGCGAGGACCTTCACCTCCACCCATGTCAGCTACTTCTTTCCCACTGAGAACCCTAAGCTGACACTCAGGGTCATGGGGTCAGGGACAGGGTCAACAAGTTACATTCCTTGTAGTGTCCAGTGCCCAACCTGAAATAAAGATTAATCAAGTTACTTAACACTTACTAAGCAGTCACTACAAGCCAGGCCCTGCGCCAACTGTTTTCTATTATTCTCAGTTGATCCTTATAATAACTATGGGATAGGTATTTTTTTGGGGGGTGGGGGGTCAGAAAGGTGTTTTTACCCCAACCCCAGGTGCAGGTGAGGAAACTGAAGCACAGAGAGGTTAATAAGCAGCCCTGGGTCACACAACCAGCTGGTAATAAGTGCCCATCAGCAGATGAATGGATTAGAAAACTGTGGTACATGTACACGATGGAATACTATGCTGTTGTAAAAAAGAAGGAATTATCATTTGCGACAGCATGGATGGAACTGGAGAGCATTATGCTAAGTGAAATAAGCCAGTCAATGAAAGAAAAATACCACATGATCTCACTCATTTATGGATAATTAAGACCATTATAAACTGATGAGCAAAAATAGCTACAGAGGCAGAGCAACCTCGAACAGACTGTCAAAGTACAGTGGGGAGGCTGGGGAGGGTTGGGGGGTGAGAGGGGGGGATAAGAGATCAACCGAAGGACTTGTATGCATGCATACGAGCATAACCAATGGACACAAGACACTGGGGGGCATGGGAGGTTAGGGGAGGGTCAAGGGGAGAAAAAAAAGGTGACATATATAATACTCTTTGTAATACTTTAAGCAATAAAACAATTAAAAAATAAAAAAAGAACCAGGGTTTAAATCCAGGCATCCAGCTCCAGAACCCACACACTTGACCACTGCCCCTGAATAGCACCCACACCCCAACATGGTGCCCAGAGGGACTATGATAACAAACCTATTGAATTTGTTTTACCCAGTGTTCTCCAGGCTTACTTGCCCACGGAACATTCCTGAGTAGAATACCTCTGCTATTTCAACTTCTATGGCACAGTGGGGGAAACATGGGGTAGTTGCCATGGAGATGGCAGGGCATCGTGGCTAAGAGCATGGGCTTTGGAATCAGACGGGCATAGTGTGAATCCTGATGCTTATTTTACCTACTCTCAGGGTATGTTATGCAACCTCTGAGCCTCCTGCTCTCTAGCGTGAAATAGGAAACAAACATCTACGTTGAGGGTCAGCGCTGGTAGCAGTTATTAGTAGGATCTCCCATTTCTAAGCAGTGTGTGAGTTTCTTCGTCTCTCTGGGCACCTGCTTTTCTTGGCAAAGTGAGAGGGCTGCCTTTAGAGTCCTCCTTGGCTCTGATGGGCCAGAGCCGCTGACCCTCGTGCTCGTCCCCTGGGGCAGGACAGGAAATGGCTGAGGCAAGGCCTGTGGATCTGGGATCTGGATGGTGACCAGCCTGGCCACATGACCTGGCACCTCCCCTCCTGCAGTGCCCTCTGGGGTCAGAATAATACCAGGAAGGGAGCGTGTGCTGGAGCCTGGGTTGTGGGCACCAAAGGGAGTTGGGGCAGGGACTGGGGCCACCTGGGCATTTTGACATGAACAACAACAAGTCATTAGCACTCAGCACTGTTTGTTCCAACACTGGGGGCTGGCTGGGTAGCATT